GGCGGGGTTAAAGTTTATACTGCAGCAAGCCACTAGGAGGTGCTTGTTTTGCTTTGACAGCATCAGGTTCACATTCAGTTATCATTGATATCGATAGTTATGAGGGAAAAATGAAATAAGGACATCTTCTGGATGAAAGCTGAATCGTTGCAGGAATGTGGACAAAGTGCCAAGAACAAGGACCTCAAGCTGTGAGTCTATCTGGCATTCCTTCATAGTCTGGATATTCCCAGTAAATCCTGGAACGTGAGTGGTGCTCCTACATTCTTCTTTGTTGTTTTCCTGTCTTCCATCAAGAGCGTTAGCAACTCAGGCTAGCAATAGCAGTATATCAACCTAGCGTTCTGTGGTTAAAGGTACCGCCACCAAGGTTTTACTACTGCTGACACTGAAGTGGCTCTGGACGTGCAGATAAGGTTGTGTGTCAATACGCTTATGATGTTTAAACCAACTTTTCTCAATTCGATCCGTTTCTCAGCAGCCATTACATCACTAATATATACAGGAAAGCAGGATTCCTTGTGGAGCTGTCCTTGTAACTGAACTACCTCCAACTTGATCAGCTTTTTGAACTAAACCAAGAGCTGGCGCACCCGCAGCATGAAGATCACAGTAGGAAAAACACGTGTGTAAAAAATGACAGCTGCTTTTCACTCGGCTGTCCCCCCAAACCACCTAAACTTTCCTTCGACTGAACATTCTAAAATCTCAGGGAAAGATTCTGACCGAGTCCCACGCCATCGTAAACACGTCCTCAGTAGCAGCGAACTAGAGACTCCCAGCAGTGATGAGGAGTGTTGGGGGGGGGGGGGGGGGGGGTGCAGTCTGTGTGAGCATTCATAAACCTAATTGCTGGGAACCAAAACATCTGGGATTAAGGCCAGGTGACCTGGCAGAGACCGGAGCGGGACACAGACGAGTAGATGATGTAGAACTTGTCTGGGTGTTGTCTTGGACTGTTGGGTTCTCACTACCTTCCAGTTGGTTCTGCAGACCTTTTGGTCATGAGATCAGGAACATTCAACAGAAGGGGCTTTTCAGGTTGTTGATTTAAATAGTTTAAAAATATATAATTTTAATGTGCAATGGAGCTTAATTTGACCTGTAGTAACTTCTGGGTGTGGATGATTAGGAATGCTAATCTGATAATTGACAGGAATGACTACATTGACCTCATTATAAGTTCATGGATTAAATTTCAAACCTTCGGAGTTTACATGTTCTCCTCTTATCTGTGTATGTTTTCTCCTGGTATTCTCAAAAAAGATGAGAGAGTACGAGGCTGTTTTCAGTAAGAACAGTTTAAAGGTCAACTTTACTCAGCTTTAATACATTTGCAGTGGTCTCTACTGCAAATGAAAGCCTTGTAAGATGTTTCCTGGGGGGTGAGGGTGGGGGTGGGGGATCTCCAGTGCACCTGTTTGAGGACGTAGACATCAGCTGGAGGAAAAAGTAGCTTCAGACGATATTTGGACATCTCGCCTCAGATTGGCTAACAGAAACGGGACTGCCACTGACTGCTCTGCAACGTCGATGTTTTATCCCCACAAATAACACAAGCCGTGGAGTTGCTAATGCTAATAGTTAGCTTCCATTAGCTGAGATGTGCTCTGCTCTCTCCTGGACGCTAAACCAACAACAGCCTTCCCCGTCGTGAGTCAAGATGGGTGAGTCCATGAACGTTAAGTGACAGTGTGACATAGATCTGTCAGGATTTTCTAAACCGAGTGTTTATCCGTCTACTTTCTATCAGAAGCTAATGCAGGAAATAGGTTTAGAAGACTATTTCTATGTTCCGCCTGCATGTAAAACTCAGAGTGACCTATCATTTTCAGAAATAAAAAGTGTTTGTCAGTGAATCTGATCTCTTCAAAGCACCAGGATGCAAAGATTGCATTATTTGGTCTTGGAGATGTAAATGTACATTTGAGAATGTCAGTCTGCAGTGCAGGTTTTAATTGTGCAGCTGTAACTTTAAATCTAAACAAATCTAAATTACTTTAAAATTATTTCTTTTAAAATTGAAATCACGACCTATTTAATTAGAACCAATAATAAAGCTGTGGATCCTCTCAAGCTTTTTTTTCCCTTATGGCTTGTCTCGTCAAAAAAAGGAAATAAAGTACCACTCAATACACAAAAAGTGTGATGCCCACAAGCATATAATCAGAAAATACAGAAGAAGTGGCTGGAGCGTTGCACTCTGCCTGGATGGATATAATTACAAAACAAAAGCAGCTATGTCGAATGGTTTAACTTGTGAAACAAACCGCGCCGTTATAAGAACTTCATGAGGGTGGATACAATAGCATGCCAGAGCAGATAGCTGCACGCGCACACATGCACACACACACACACAAAGAGAGAGAGAAAGAGAGTGTGAGAACAAAAGAAGAAGCTTTCAAATTCTATTTCTGATTTGGTATGTTTGTCTTCGTTGAGCAAGCAGAAACAAACGAGTTGGTTTAGAGTGAGGAAGGATCTTGCAAAAACTTTTGGATCCTGCTAACCACAAATACAACAGGATGCATGAAAATACCCACAATCCACAGAAGTAATACCAATGTACAGACTGACTCACATACATTATAATGTGTCAAACTGATAGTTTTTTTTTTTACTTTATTATCATTTTTCTATTAAATATATTGAATTTACTCTTAGGATTTATTTTTTGCATTTGTGGGGTCTTTTGAGCTGCTTTTATGGCCAGATCAATGACAACTTTGTAAAACTAGACTCAGAAAAAAGGCCAAATATTTTATTGAAGAAGAAGAAAAAGAATAAATGTCTTCACCTGTTCTTATTAGAGGATTTAATGTAGACGGCTGAATTGGATTAAGATAACTGAGTGGACTGTTTAAAGGTGCATTATGTAGAATGACGTATAAATGACATCCTGTGGTAAAAATTGGTTAGTGCGACCACTTTAAACAACTCTGGAGCCGGCCGTCCTCAAATTACATTTGTCGGCGTTGCAGCATTAGCTTGCAGGAGACATGGCTAGACCACACTCACTGATGGTAAACAGCAGTTACATCCCTCCTTAATTTATCCTGCAGCCAGCTGGGTATGAAATATGTTTCAGTATAACCTTCCTACCAAAATGACTGACACTTTAAACTTGTCTGGTATTTTCTCACTGTAAAAATTCTCACTATATTCTTACATACTGCACCTTTAAAGTCACATCAGGTGCAAGAGAATGAGTAAATGTAAAATAACTGCAGGTCTTGAGTCAAATAAAGAAAACAGCTTCAAACTTGTGAAATTCAGTTATTTGAGTCTTTTTAATAATTTTTTATTTTATTGTGACACAAATTTTTATACATTTTCTCAATCTAAGAATGTGTTGCAATGTAATTAAATGTCAGGGATCATAACAGCTCATGTTACCTTCTTCATTATGAAAAGACTCACAATTAAATATTATCTGCACTGAGTAGCTCATATATATATATATATATATATATATATATATATATATATATATATATATATATATATATATATATATATATATATATATATATATATATATATATATATGTATTGTCACGAGTCAATATAGTGACCGAAAGAATGAGATTGCAGGTCCAGGTGGCCAAAATTGGTTTTCTCCACAGGGTGGCTGGGCTCTCCCTTAGAGATAGGGTTAGAAGCTCAGTCGTCTGGGAGGGGCTCGGGGTAGACCCGCTGCTCCTCCACATTGAGAGAAGCCAGTTGAAGTAGCTCGGGCATCTGGTAAGGGTGCCTCCTGGATGCCTCCCTGGTGAGGTTTTCCGGGCACGTCCAACTGGGAAAAGGCCTAAAGGAAGACCCAGGACACATTGGGCGGAGACTATGTCTCACAGCTGGTCAGGGAGCACCTTAGGATTCACTCAGAGGAGCTGGCCCAAGTGGACTTGGGAGAAGGAAGTCTGGGCCTCCCTGCTTAGGCTAATGCTCCTGCGACCTGACCCCGGATAAGCGGCTGAAAATTCATGTATGTATGTATGTATGTATGTATATATATATATATATATATATATATATATATATATATATGTATATATATATATATATATATATATATATATATATATATATATATATATACACATATGTTTTTTTATTTTTTTATTTATTTTTATCTTTGATGGGTAGCTAAAGCCACAAGCACAATAAAAATGTTATGAAATATTAATTAGAGATTTTTGGTATCTGTTACAGATGAAATATGGAGCAACATTAATCAGATTTTTGTCACAGAAAAGCCATAAATAACTCAAGCGACAACAACAAAATCACCTGAAATGTCTGCTCTCTAGAGTACCACTAAACCTCACAGGGACCGTTCAAAATGGTTTTGTGACATTTGGGAACAATGAATCTCCTGAATCCAAACCTATCTGTTCGCTCCGTGACTGCTGGCAACTCTAATCAGAGCTCTTTTCAAACAGTGACAAAATCAATACAATCAGCAAACAAATTCTGTTTTCTCTGATGGACCTCTGCATTCATTTAACTTGCTGTAATTTGAGTTATTCTAGCGTGTAACGCTTTAATTGGCCAAGACGAGAGAAGACTGAGAAAAACTCAAGACAGAGACAATGTGATTTAAAGGCTGAGGGGGGATTAAAGGGAAATTAAACCAATTAAATAAAGGATAACATCAGAAATGTTATAAATATGAGTCAGTTTATGTGCATGACACAAATTATCATTACATACCTTGATTTTATTAGAATTATGTAACAATGATCCTTCTAAAAAGCCACCAAAAATGCTAATTCATGTGTAAAGTCTGAACTCACTTCTCAGGTTCTCATTATTTATTCTGTTATGTTGATTTTGGCTTCGACCGTTCAAAATGTCCCACAGGCAAACCTCACTAAACCTTCTCTCTGGTTTCAAGGCTCTGTTTTTGGAGCCTCCGGAGGACCAAAAACATCGGACTTTAAGAGTTGGCTCCTTCGTGTGTGATGCAACGAAGGTCTGAGCGGTGGATGGTGACTCACGTGTCATGTGGAAGATTCCGTCACAGGCGCTAATGTGGGACAGGAAGGCGTTTCCCAGACCTTGACCTGCATGAGCTCCTTTCACCAGGCCAGCAATGTCAACAACATTAAGGAATGCTGGAATTTTACTGCAAAAAGACACAAAATGGGAGATTAGGTGAAAAATTTGGCAGGAATGTACATTTTATTCTGCTGCAGCACCATAATTGAGAATGCCAGTGCTTAACTAGTAAGATTACTTTTTCTGTCCTTGTTTTGTACTCAATGGTGAAAAAACTATTATGTGAGCTCAAACTAATGTTTTAGTCAAGATTTCAACTAAAATCTTTACTATTTTCCATGTTTCTCTACTCCAACACCATTGTTCAGCAGGTCATCGATGTCTGCAGAGGCCTGTCAATCTTAAACCGATAAAATCAGGTGTGTTTAAACCGAAAAACATCTTACACTTGCAGGACGGTGGCCCTAGAGGACCAAGATTGGACACCACTTTTCACATTCTTGATTATGTGTACACCTGAATTTCTTACTGTGATGCTTAAATTTTTATGGGATAGAACAAGAGAATAATTCAAACTACATGAATCCTGTTTTAACATGAAGCTGCCACCACCGTGCTCCACAATGTGGAAGCTGATTTTTTACCTTGAGATTCCTCTTTCACACATTAGAGGAGCCTCTTAATTAATTGTCTTCTCTCTCTCTTGCCTTCCTCCCATAAAGTCAGCTTATAAAGCTTAAAGGTGCAAACATGTTAGAATAAAGTAAAAATGACATCCAGTGGTCAAACATGGGTACTGCAGCCCATTTTTCTAAACAAAAAGTCCCTTTCTCACTGCCGTGGTGTGAGTTTCATGGCTTTTACCAGCTATGGAGCAGCACCAGAAGATTCTAGATGACAAGTGAAGACGACTCATACACAGTAAGTTGATACGAAGATACTGTAAATACATCTGGTGTTAGCACTCATGGGTGCACTTACTACATTTATTATGGTAGTTTGTCACACATACATTTCACTGTAATATTGAGTTGTTGGTAATTGAAAAAGTAGCTTGAGATATTTTTAGAGCCAACTATTTGCTTCTAATTCACTGTTAGCATTGTTAGCTCAACTTAGCCTCTAGCGTTCTTCAACCAAAATGTTAGTAAAACAAAAAAGATGCCGTGGCTTCTGAGGGGTTGCTCCTGTTTAATGGCTTCAGATCTTTAAACAACTCAGGAGCTTTTTGCAGACTGGTGTTGAATTACACATGCCAGTACTATAGCGTTAGCACAGACTCTGCAACCTCACAAACTCACAGATTTTGCTTTTTTAAGAGGAGAAGAACTGACAACCCCCCAGCCGACTGACAATGAAATTCAAAGTAACCTTCCTTCCAACGTGACTGAGACATTAGACTGCTTTGTTATATTTATTTCACTGTAAGGTTCTTAAATATTGCTCCTTTCAAGTGTTTTGTTTTCAATTAACAGAAACTTAGTGGATCTTAGCTGACCCCTAAACCCTAAATACTGCATTCTGGACTCTGACAAAAGCGGTTTTCGTTTCACGTTTTCGTTTCACTATTAAATTCATGCCTCCATCATTTTAACCTGCTTCTCAGAATAAACTAAACAATTTCAAACTTCAAAGCATTGGTGAAAGGAGAAAGTATTGAAAATATTTGAAAGTTTTAGCTGTCTAGCTAATTCACAGAAGGAAACATGTCTTTAATCTTTATTTTAAGTAGACATACTGCCAATATTCTCTTGACGAGGCAGAAACCAGCCTTGCATTTCACTGAACAAAGGCTTTTATTTGTACAATAAATAGAAGAGGAATCAGTTTTCATGCATTTGGCTAACAGTTTAGATTATCTATGATGTAAAGCACAACCAAACCAAATTCATGCTGCTTAAACAGCCTCCGTAAAAGTCATATTATCACCAGCAGTTTGATTTTTGTCTTCTCTTTCACAGGAGAACAGAACACCAATTGAATATCATACAAACACATCACAGAGCTACATGACAACAGCATTGTTAGATGATTTCATACAACAAGAGGACCATCAGAGACTGCAGAAGTGAGGTGTGAATAATGCGTGAAGAATGAGACCCCATACCTGGCAGGTTTGTGGAATTGGCAGAGGAAATCATAGCGTTCATCTGGAATGGGCACTCTGCTTTCATTTGGGTCAATGGTGCAGAAGGGGAAATTTTCAGCTGCAGCCTCACTCTTTGTCAGCACGTTGAAAAAGGTTGACTTCCTGAAAATCAAAACAGCACCGAGGTCAAGATATCGAGATAAAAAAAAAGCTGTGCTGTTGGGTGAGAGCCTGATGGGTTAGAGAGGATGGACATGCAGCAACATATGCATGAATGCCTGTTTGGACACAAGAATTAAACAGAAAATGTTGTAATGCACAAAATATCTGTGCTCATCAAAGGTCAGATAATCCCAAACAGGTCCAGGGAATGCAACAATCGAGCAAGGTCAGCAAAATACGGCCTCATGCTCTGGTGCTCATTTTCTGCAACACGTTTGATCGAATTCATTCAAATTCAGCAGCAAGAGAAAGAGCAGAGGGATCACGTCATTCAATGTTTAATACTGAAATAATTGTTTGCTGAAGCCTATCAGCCTGACTTGGGATCAGACTTCTAAATTTCTTCCGTATTGATTCTGATTTATCACAAAAAAAGGAAAATCACGCCACATCAACATAACGCCAAACTGAGAAATTCTGATTATTAGAGAGAAGCGGGGGAAATGAAAACCATCACAAAGCAGGATGCAAATGTCTGAGGCCTAAAAGCTCCAATAAAGAGTTAAACAAATGTATATAAGGATGCAGAACAGTAGCCAGTTCCACCCTTCTAACAGCTGGTTTACGTCTGAACACAGCTCATTCATGAAGAAACCACAGGAGGGTTCCACTTTGACACAAATATGGTGTGGCAGGCCACAACCTCACTGTGCTCCACGTCTTATATGAGGAAGAAACTGTGGTTACGCTGAGAACACCGGACACTGGAGTGGGATCATTTGAAAACCTCACATGCCACCATCTCAAACCACGTGTGTCTGTAGAAAACTAAAACTGACTCTATATTTTTATGATGAAAACACAAATAAAACAATAGCTTCCTTTTGGATGGTTCTAAGATTATTTTATGAAAAACAAGTTGAAATGTTTAATAAAAAACAAGATCATATGTATTTGTTTACGGAGAAGCAGTTTCAGAATTAAAATGTTATCTTTGTGAGGGAATGATTTGTCTGATTAAACCTGGTAAAAAAAAGTCAAAACTGAGATCTGAATGAATTAGTTCCCCAGAGATTCACCTATGGAGCTGTGCGAACTTTGACCTCTGCCTGTCATGATGAGTTCTTCACAGATCAGCAGATTTTTATACTGATCTTTTCTGCAAAAAAATTACAAAACCTTGACTGATGGTTATTTTTGCTAGCTGCCATGTACTTGTGAATTCATAATGCAAAATATATAATAATTTTAAATGTGACATATTATGATAAACTGATCTTTTGCATCATTTTTCTGCAGCCATGTGAATCTCTACTGCCTCTATAAACACTCCAAATTTGAAACAAACCTGTCCATCCATTTTCTGGTAGTGCTTAGTTTTAGTAATAAGGTGGTTTGAACGAGTCATTTCAAAAAGTCCCAATTTGTGATGTCACAAACGGGTAAATGAGCAGTAGAGCAGCTGCTGTTGGAGGAGCAGCAACTCTACTGAGAGCCCCTGATGGATATCGGAGCTTCTTAGCTTCTGGCAGCCTGAACAAGTGGGCTCCAGCTTGTTTTTTTAAAGTGACAGAACACTGAATTGGCTCATTCTGGACGGTACTGAAAATATCAAGAATACAACTGCTGAAATCTCTTTATGTGAGAAGGATTTTGTGCAAAAAACATGTTTTGTATCAACCATAAATCTATTATAACTTAAAACAAAGCCATAATATGTCCTCTTAACGTGGTTTTGAAGATTTGCTGCAAAAACCCACCAGCTCTAGTTAGAGGATTAAATTTAATCAAGCCACTTAACAGGACAAGAAGCTCAAACGCTTCAAACAGACAGATAACATGAAAGTGAAAATGAGAGCTGGGAGACGTGTGGCTCCACATGTTTAAAAGACACATTTTAAGCTACATTTTTCTCATTTTGGTGTGAAACGCAGAAAGAGGGTGAAGTTTCTTTTAAAGGAGCTTTCTTAAAATTGCAAAGATAGATCTTCAAAGTTAGCTCTCCCTTGCACAAAAAGGATCAAATGAATTAGATAATAAGGCTGAAGAAAACAGATTTACTGACCCGACATTGGGCAGGCCAACAATTCCTATCTTCAGTGAGGTGCCAAACCTTCCAATCAGAGGTGGTGGCTTCAGTGTGTCGTCTCCTTTGGCCTAATGAGGATAGAGTGGAAACGTCTGCAGTCAAAATCGTTACTTTCCACAAGAAGATCCACGGCGCTCCCTTGAATTTTAAAATTAGCTCACAAAACACACCTTTTTGGGAGCCATGCTTCTCGCTCAGCTTCGGTCCCACACTCAGGAAAGTACATTCATTTGCAGAAATTAATAAATATGTTTTAAAAAGCTACAAGTGCTCAAGTATGACAACTTCACAGCTAGCACGCTCTCTGCAGAGCCTAAAATAGAGCCTGTGCAGCCTCTAGAAGTGTAAGCTGACACTGTGAGCTGCATGGTGAGCTGACCTGCACGTTCAAATTTAGCTGTGGAAAGTATGAAGGAGGTTAATGAGTGTCTAGTTGTAGAAAGCTCACTTACAGGCTTCAAAGTGACATTTATTCACCAGATTTGAACGGTATAAATCTGTGCTGACAGGCTGAAGAACACTCGCTGTGACGTTTTAATTTACAGCTGTTTGCTTCACTTTGTAATTGATTTATTTTTTATGTCTAATTTTCCAACCAAACTGCAGAAAATAAGAAAAACTGCAGATAAAACGAGCAAACTATTTAGGCTAAATCTACATGAAAGACACTTTCTTCTTTTTCTGATCCAAGTGGAGCTTCATCAGCATCCTTCCACTCACAGTTTACTCCAGCCCCCTTGGGAGAGAAACAGGTGTAGCCGCATGAGCACACTAAATTTCAACAATTAGTTAAACATCCTCAAATAAACTTCCCTCTGCAGACACACAAATTAAGACGCACACAGGGGCACAACCAGAAAGCACTGCCCAATCCAGCGAGCTGCCTGGTTTAACATGCAGAAAATGAGGCTGGAATAAACTGGATTTTGAAGAGTGAGGGCTTTGTGGGAAGAATTTTAAATGAACAGCTCTGAATTAATCATTTATCTTTTGTTGATGGATGCACCCCCACTTACACTCCTCACAATAGATGCAGAGCATTTTGTTCGACCAAATAAATCATTCCCATTGTTTAAGGTACATTGATCAATCTAATGGCTTGTAATAGGCTCCTAATTGCCACGGAGAAGTGCTCACGAATGCGGCTCGGGATTACAGATTCAACTCTGAATTCTCACTTGAATGACGAGAGATCATGTTCTCCTCTCTTGTGTTCAAAGCGGAAAAAATCTGGAAAACATCACTGATATTCCATTATCCAAACCATTTAAGGGAAAACAGAAATGGGTAAATTGGGAATAGATTAGATTTGAAACAAAATAATAATCAAAGTATGAAGGTGGATGTTCTTATTTATTGTGAAATAAATTAAAATGAACAGATTTTTAGAGAATAAATCTAACTCGCCTTAAGCTGCAATCATCTCTGCTTATGTAGAAAAGCCAGTTAATACTGTTAACAGCACTCAGGCAAATTGTCATGATTGTAAAAACGATTCAATTTTCTTGGCTGCGTTCAGTTGTTGATGAGACTGATTTTTATTCACCCTTTCAAAGGTGGGGCTTTAAAGCAAAGAGGGGAGGAAAAAGAGAGAGAAAGGGGGGTGGGGGGTGGGGGGTATTTGAACAAATTGCATCTGTGTTTACTGGCGCCATTCATGCGCCATAATAGCGCATTATTTGCCCGTTTTTGAATACTGTAATGCACAGCTTTCCGTGAAGCCCTTTCTATGGAAAATTGCTTTAACTTTAAAAAAAATGGGGGGGGGGGGGGTGAATCAGATGGGAGCAGGTCAATTTTACATTATATCTGAGCATTTTTAACAAGCATATGGAATAAAGCAGAAACTGCGGCAAGAATAAAAAATAATGAAATATACGGATTTTGTGGAAGAATTTACATGATTATTTTTTAAATATGTTTATTCTGATTGTGCATCCTGATTGGCGGCCTTGGAAGCAGGACTCTCTGATGCTGCAACTTTTACGCGCGCGTTTACCCCTCACCTGCTGTCACCTAAGAAGTGCGCATGCAGCGGGAAAAGCGCGCAAATAAGCTCACAAACACGTGGGCTGTGACTGAAAGTGATAAAATGAGATAAATGGAATTTTTGATCAATTACGTAAACAGTTTTTTTTTCTTTACATGCCCTGTGCCAAGTCATTTTACGCAGTCCTTCGCAGCCGGACCTTGCTCTTGAACTTATAATCTTAAATATGAACAAAAACACGTTAAAACAACAAAATAAAACCTTTAGCTTCTAGAATCTATGATTTCCATGCCAATCGAAACCAATTCCAGCTGCGCGTAAACTATATTTTGGATGATTGTTCTCTTAAAGTTTGTGCTCAAATTATCAGAACGTTCCAGGACCTATTGCGCATGATCTGAATATGAAAAACCAAGAAAGAAAACCTTTAGATCCGGAGTGAAGCCGCAACGATCCAGAACCACAAACAGGGAAAAGCGCTTACCTCCTGGAGATTTGACGCGTGAGCTCATTTCTACAGCGAAAAGCGACATTGCGCCTTCGAGTGAGAGAATACATAAAAATAACGGTATGCATAAAAAATATATCTATCAATTCGTGTCTTGTGTGACAGTGTGAGCAGAGGCTGCACAGCACATGATTGACGGCGGGGTTTTTGGTGTTTCTGTCTGCGGTCGTGCTTCTCATTGGTTGAGTTTAAACCCCGGCCGTGAACGCGGCTCGCAGATTGGCTGCGTCTCCTCTCCAGCTGTACTTCAAAGAAGACGCTCGCTACAACTAGGTAGTGTTGGGAGCTGTGAGCCAGGAGAGAAACCGTGTGACCCGAGTCAACACGGGAAAATCCGAATCAAATTGGAGTCATACAGCCTCGAGACCGCGAGCGCACTCACCGCAGCAGACCCTGGATATGGCTACGTCTATACTTGGGGTGAGTCTGGCTTTACGCACCAAAGTTGCGCATACTTGTTGTTTTCTACTTTACTTTGCAACAAAAGAAGTTGGCAGTTTATTCAAACGTGCATCTGTTCATGCTTTTAAAAAGTGCCGTTATAGTTTGGTCACCATTTATAAGAAAAATACTTTGAACAAATAGTTTGTGCGCTGCGCAAAAGGTCTCCAAACTTTTGTGGCAACAATCCGTTTAGTTTGTGATTTTTAGAATGTTTCTACATGTTTTTGTCGTAGTACACCCACTTAAAGGGAATTAGTTTTCTCTCTCTAAAATGTTTTTCGGCTAAATAAATAGTCTTTTATAATATTGCTGGGTTTTTTGTTCAAACATCCTTTATAAGTGAAAATTTTGGTGTTTTTCCAGGAAGAGCCACGTTTTGGAACTACACCTTTAGCTATGTTGGCTGCAACTTGCAACAAAATCGGTAACACCAGCCCTCTGACAACTTTACCCGACTCCAGCGCTTTCTCCAAAGGTGGATTTCACCCGTGGAAGAGATCCTCCTCCAGCTGCAACTTAGGATCCAGTCTGCCCGGTTTCACGGTGGCAACGAGCCGAGCTTCGACGGGACTAACACCGACCAGTGGCACCGGCAACAGCGCCTTCTGCTTAGCCTCCACATCCCCGACCTCCTCTGCGTTCTCCACCGAGTACAGCGGTCTGTTTTCCAACTCTGCGAGCGTCACAACGCAGGAATCTGGCCAGTCTGCTTTTATCTCCAAAGTCCACACTTCAGCCGAGACTCTGTACCCGCGAGTGGGCATGGCGCACCCGTATGAGTCGTGGTACAAGTCGGGGTTCCACTCCACCATCTCTGGTGATGTTGCGAACGGCGCGTCCTCGTGGTGGGACGTCCACAGCAACCCCGGCTCATGGCTCGATGTCCAGAATCCCACGAGCACCCTCCAGACTTCTCTGCACTCCGGGACCCCGCAGGCGATCCACTCCCAGCTGAGCGGCTATAACCCGGACTTCTCCTCGCTGACGCACTCGGCGTTCAGCTCCACCGGAATCAGCCCGTCCGCGTCTCACCTGCTGTCCACCAGCCAGCACCTGCTAACTCAGGACGGCTTCAAAACTGTCATTCCCACCTACACGGACGCTTCTGCCGCCAATGCCATGACTTCAGGAGGCAGTTCAGGGATCAGTAACTCCTCCAGGTCGTCCAGACGCTACTCCGGCAGAGCGACATGTGACTGTCCGAACTGCCAGGAGGCTGAGCGACTGGGGCCCGCCGGGGCCAGTCTGCGGAGAAAGGGACTCCACAGCTGCCACATCCCCGGCTGCGGGAAAGTGTACGGAAAGACCTCTCACCTGAAGGCGCACTTGAGGTGGCACACCGGCGAGCGGCCTTTTGTCTGCAACTGGCTTTTCTGCGGAAAAAGGTTCACTCGGTCAGATGAGCTGCAGAGACACCTGCGCACGCACACCGGCGAGAAACGCTTCGCCTGTCCGGTGTGCAACAAGCGCTTTATGCGCAGTGACCATTTGAGCAAGCACATCAAAACGCACACGGCGGGCGGAGGAGGCAAAAAGGGCAGCGACAGTGACACCGACACCAGCAACCTGGAGACGCCGAGGTCCGAGTCTCCAGAACTTATTTTGGAGGGGGTCAATCCCAGAATCACAGTTAAGGATCCGTCACCTCACGACGAGCCCTGAGGCGCCACGCGCACGCAGAGCAGACAGAAAAACAAACTGCACAGCTATGAAAACGGGTTCTGTTGGACAGGGAAACGGAGAAAATATTTCTTGAAGCAATTGCGAAATAAAAAAGAACATATTTATCAGGCATCATCATAAAATACTGATTTCCTGTAGGCCTTCGGAATGAATTTCAATTTAAAAATAATTAAAAAGACTGGATGCGCAAAACCTGTTGACCTTTGGTTGGACAATGTGAGTCCCATTCTGTATATTGACCTCTTAATATGTGTTATTCTCATGTAAATGTTATAGGCTCTGATTGTTTTATTCGTGTTGGTATCCTGGAGATCAAGGGAATTTACTTTTTTCGACGCACTTTTGTGAATATCTGTATGTACACAGCCGCTTTTTCAACTTTTGTTAACCATTTTATTTCTTTGCTAAAAATGATCTATATATAAATGTTTACCTGTATAAAGTCACACGTATAAGGCTTTCATTTATCGTAATTAAAACATCTGGAAATGAAATTGTGTGATTTTATATATAATTTATTTAATTCTTGGTCATTTTTTAATTAAAAATATTTAATTCGGTTAAAATATTTTATTTTTAGCGTTATCTTTCATTATTATGCGATTTAAAAATAGGCCCGATTTTTCCCTATGGAATAAATTCATGTTTAATTCCCCGGAAAAGACATTTCATGCCCAAATGAAAATCTTGTTAAATGGTATTAATTATGACTTGGAGCACTGCGCAGCCCCATGTGTCTTGTATTGGCGATTAGGGATTCGTGTCTTATCAAATATCTAATTAATCTCCGAGACATCTATTGTTCACTTTCACTTTATCAGGGGGATTGGCTGACAAAGGTCCCAGAATATTTATTCTAATTGTCCAAATTAACTGCCTTCATTTGCATACCAATTGATATAAAATAAGGATACGGCTTCTGTCTCTTTTGCCAGAAACCACATAATGTTTTTTTCCAACTTCAGAAAAATAAGGGGCAAAGAGTCAAATGCAAATGTTGAATTTTAAATGCGCAGTCAAATGGTCGCTGCGTGTTATTTGAATATCAGTGGCCCCGCGCTGAAAGGGTTCAAGGATGCTCCATGACTTCTTTGTGCGTATACCCAGCGCAGCGTCCGACTCCCAAAGAATAAAAAATATAAAAGGAGGAGAGGATAATAATTACAGACACAACCAAGAATGCGTCAAGGAAGAGCATCTCTTCCAGACAGACGCAATTTTATTTCTTTCTAAAGACAGGATGTTAAATTGCGCAGAAGGCGAAAGAAGGGAAATTATTTTCATTTCCTTTTGTGCAAAAAGCGTTTGTAAGAAAGCGGCCAAATTGTGGAAAAATATGACATTATGTCTCCAATTTGTGTTTAAAGATATATAAAAATAAAAAAGGTGCAATTTTATATTTAAGTCACATAAGTTTAAAAAAATCACTTTAAATTATTAATGAAAACATTTGAGAATATTTCACTTCATGTCAAAAGTAAAAATCTGACCTCATGAAGAAATAGAATTTCAAAATCCGATTTTTGTGCGTAAATTTGGCTTCAATAAAAAAGCCTTTGCGCACAAAAATGGCGCATTTTGTAAAGCTATACTAGCAGCGTTTCTTTAATTTCTTCAGAAATTAAAACTTAAATTGACAAAAAAAAATTCTTAGCATCTTATAAAATTGTTTATTATAGTTTTAATTCTAGGCTTAATTCTTTATAATTGTGTAACTTAACTTTACAACTTTTTTCAGTAAAACAAATATAAATAATAAACATGTTTACCATTTTAACCATATTTTAATGTTTTATCAATTTAAAGGATGTATTTATCCTACTTTAACAAAAAGGAAACAGGAAGACTGGATCAGGATAAACCACAACATTGTCTTTATTGTAGGTGGAAGAATAATAAAAAATGACCAACACTTTCCACTCATTATCTGAACCTCTAATTTATCTCAATCTAATTAATTTGCATCTTTTCAATACCAAACCCTGACAAACGCTCCGTCCAGGTATTTTCAGTTCTCTACTGCCCTCTGCTGGAGGGAAACTGAATTTTTGATAATTGGATCTAAAGGAGACTTGAAAACTTGAGTCAAAAAGAAAAACATGCAACAGGATTTTACTCTAGATTATGAAAGAAACCCCAAATACATGGATAAAAAGTTAGTGCCTTCTTTTGACTCCATCTCTGCTCCTGCTCCTCCTCCTCCTCTCTTCTCTCCTCTCTCTGCTTCTGCTCCTCCTTTCAGCTGTTTTGCTTTTGTTTCCTTCTGTGCTTCTTCTGCTCCTCTCACCGTCTCCACTGTGATGTCTGTCTTCACCTCGATCCTCCCTGCCTCTCTCGTGGCACCGACTTCTGTCCAACACATCACTGGAGCTGCTGCCTCTCTGCCTGTCCCTGCTGTTGTGCCTCCTTCTCTCTTGACCTCCCTCCAGCATGATCTTGTTCTCGGGGCTGCGATTTCTACTCCTGCTCCTTCCCCTCTCTGTCCTTCTTTGTCTATAATCTCCAGACTCCTCTTTAGGCCGCTTCAGGCTGGCGTGGGGGCTCGGTGACCTGCTTCTGCGAGAGGTCTTTTTCTGACTCTTGCCTCGTCTCTCCGAACTGTTATCCCGACAGGAATCTTCTTTATTCTTCTTTTTCCTCTTGGATTTAGGAGCGTCTGAATCGGAGTCGCTATCACTGCTGCTGGCATCGGAGGAATCACTAGAGCTCTCGCTGCTCTCCTGCCTTTTCTTATGTTTGCCTTTGCTTTTCTTCTTCTGTTTCTTGCTCTTCTTCTTCTTGCCCTTCTGTTTCTCCAGCCGATCAAGTTTTCTGTAGAAAACAGAGAAGAAACTTTTAACCACGTTTAACTTGATGCTACCATTTGCTACATTAACCAAGCCCACATCAATATTGTGATTATAACAATGTATAAACTAAATTATGCATCTATAAACAAAGTTTATTACACTTTTGCTTCTGTCTCATAAGAAATTCTGCAGTAAAATGTTAAGAATTTGGTCTTTTGTCCACATAAATAAATACATAATCAATGTTGACTCAGTTTTTAAATAGCAGTGTTTTAAATTTATTGACACTAGAATATTTTATTAAAAAAATAATAAAAGAACGTCACCTGAGGAGTTTTTGCTTCTGTTTGGTCGTTAACGATTTCAAAAACTCCACTTCAGGATCCTCTTCCTCCTCACTGGCAACATAGTCCTGTTAAAGTATGAATATAGAAATTTATGCTGTAACCACAACAAAAATGTGCAACTCAAAGTGTCTCTAGAATATCAGCTGAAGAGCATAAAATAACTAAATGATCACATATTGTGATGAAAATGTGTTTAAGGTACAGATGATCTTGAGTTTGGTCAGTCTTCCTCAAGGGTGTGTGTGTGTGTGTGTGTGTGTGTAGTCTCATGCACATCCAGATGACAGTGTGAGACAGACAATTACCTGCGACGGATCACAAACGGTAGAATTCCTATCAAGGACACATTTTTTCAGGGCAAACCCGCTGTTTCGCATCTCAGCCATTAACTCAGAGGGGTGCATCGACGGACCTGTTGGCATAAACCACAGCCTCAGAGTCCCATTGATGTGGAGCCCATACCATCCACCATCTCCACAGTGGGAATTTCACAGGCGGCTTTGTTAACAGAATGGGACATCAAATCAACTCACTCCACTTCCGGCTGAGCAAATCATACAATATCATTCTCTGCCAAAGCGGCAGTTAGTGGAAATCAGAAAACACAATAATTACATTTTTTCTCCCGGAACAGCGGGAGGGATCATTACAGCACTCCACCATCAACCCCACAGACTGGACTCTCCCAGGGTAAACACTATTACGTTACAACTCCACTGGCTGATTACAGAACTCTGAATCAGGCTGGAAAAAGCTTGAGAGACAAAAGCTATTCTCTATCCTGGATCCTCGTCCTCACTATGAACAAACGCGCTCATAAATGTAATAAAAAAAATCAGGTTTCGTCAAGAAAAAACTATATTTAAACTTAAAATCTTTGTACAACATACAATCAATGGCTTGTCAAGTTGCTGTTTATTTTAAGAACGCTGTAATCTAACTGCAATGTTCTGATCTGGTCCTGAATGCAGTCTTTGACACTGCTGACCATCACCTGCTTACTGGATAGGCTGAGAAACTGGGTAGGCCCGTCAGGTACTGCTCTGGAGTGGTTCTCCTCTCATCTGTCTCAGTGTGGCAGTTTCCAAGTTTCGGTCCTCCCTCATCCATGATGTCCTGCAAGGTTCATTGCTGGGGCCTCCACTTTTCCTCCTCTATCTGCTCCCTCTCCAGTAAACCCTGAGTTCTTGTAAAGGAATCTCCTACCATCTTTATGCAGATGACATCCAACTGTACATCTCCTTTAAGCCCTATGAGATGTCTAAGCTGCAGCTGTTACACACCTGCTTAGACTCTATTAAAACCTGGATGGCTGGGAGCTTTCTACAGCTGAATGAAGATAAGACTGAGATCCTCACCTGTGCCCCAGACAAGCTGGTTCCCAAAGCCAGAGACTCTCTTGGTCAGCTTGCTTCCCACACCAAACCCGCTGTCAGGAATCATGGTGTGACCTTTAAACCAGCTCTCACCCTGGATTCTCATGTCCGTTCTCTTGTTCGCCTTCCCCTCTTTCATCTCAAGAACACTGCCAAGTCCGATTCTATCATGCTCTGAACTCGAGATGGTTATCCACAACTTCATCTCCTGACACTTAGGTTAAGTTCCCACTGCAGGCAAAAGCGCATCAAGCCCAATTTCCCCCCCCCCCCCAACATGCGACTCATATCTGATATTTTTATGACAGTCTGAACAGCACAGATCTGACTTTTTTTCCAATCCGATCCAGGTCACTTAAACATGTGGTACTGATGTTGATATATATCTGATGCTTTTGAAAGTGACTGCAGCCTGAACAGTCATGTTGCATTAAATCCATCTCCTATGTCAGAGCCAGTGGAGGCGAGTGTCGTGTGTTGACATTCCTGAGAAGCGCTGACAGAGGGACTCGAGGACTGTCTGAACATCCTGTCAAGTTTAGGAACTAAAAATACAGAAGAGCATAAGAACAGGAGTGGGAGGTGCAGCTGGAGCCAAGCGTCTCACCGGTCTTGGTCTCCAAGAAAGTGAGGGGTTCCCTGTGAATGAACTTAAAGGGATACTTTGCAACTTGTTTGTATTATTAAATCCTTTTCTTGAGCCAGTAAGTGCTAAAATGACCCTTTACAGGGTTAATGTAAGACCACCCAGCGCCTACTGCCAGAATATCGCACTTGCAACTTCACAGTTACTGGTCCCGTCTGCTGGGACCCAAAATAAATTGAGCTGATCTATTTAGCACTGCTGTCTGGTACCAGCATGTTTTAGATCATGAACACAGCTGATCAGTTTAATTTAGTGATGAATCACTCCTGTAGACACTTAGGAATGTTGGGAGATGTTTCAGCTGTTTGATTAAGTTGTGAAAAAGACAAACGCACAGTGAGAAGATGGGTTTTGGTTTCGCTTCTACAATGGGACACTAGTGGGTGCTAAAAGCAAACAAAACGGCCTAGTATCCCTTTAATATCTGAACATTTTTGGTGAATAATAACTTGGGAGACTTGACAGGTGGGATCCTGATTAGGGATGCACCGATACGATACTGGTATCGGTATCGGCACAGATACCAATATCAGTGTCGGTAAAAGTTAACCGATACCAGGAACCGATAACAATGCAATTGCTTGAAAATGGCTTCACTGTAACCTGTCATTTCTGTTCACCTAATATTTTAGTTTTGTGATGATTTCCATTCATATATTTTACTTTTTATCTACCTCACAGTCTTTTCCTGTTGAAAGCAGAGAAGAAAATAAAATCTGTATTCCAAATCATTGCATTTTTTTGTGTGGTAGAAGTATCGGTATCGGTAATCGGTATCGGCGAGTACTCAGATCCAAATATCTGTGTCGTATCGGTTTGGAAAAAAGTGCTATCATTGCATCCCTAATCCTGATCCTGTGGATGAGTCAGTGAAGGCTTTCCCATTACAACTCTGCCTCTCCTGTTTCCAACTCCACTGAGTGTGACTTCTTGTCTTCTGCGCATGCGGGTCGCTTTGAGGCCATGAAGCGTTCACAATGGAGAAAGTTTGATGTTGTTTTCCAGTCATAACATGAACAGCCACACACAAAAAAAAAAATCAGATTTACTCAAAAAAATCATGAGCATCAAGGCTTGGATTGTGAACGTGGCCTCAGACTTCTGCAACTCGCTTTTATCTTGTCTGAGCAAAACCTCCCTGAACCATCTGCAGATGGTTCAGAATGCCTGTGCTGAGCTTCTGACCAAATCGTCGAAGTACACCCACATCACCCCACTTCTCCTCCAGCGTCATTGGCTGCCAGTCAAGTACAGGGTTCATTTCAAGATCCTGGTTCTGGTCTATAGGGCCTTACATGGACAAGCACCATCTTACATTGGTGATCTTCTCAGTCCCTACACCCCCAGCAGGTCCCTGAGGTCCAGTGATCAAAGCCTACTGGGTGTGCAGCACCAGGCTAAAGGTCAAAGGTGACAGATAATTTGCTGCTGTGGCCCCCAGACTCTGGAACCTGAGATCAGTGGACTCAGTGGTCTCCTTTAAAAAGCAGCTGAAAACTCACCTGTTCAGGCTGGCTTCTGTGGCACCACCCTTTCATCCTCTTCTTTCTCACTGGCTTCTTTTCAAGCTGCTGTTATTTCAGTATATTTCTGGCTTCCATTTTTATTTATTTCATTTATTTTTCTTATTTCTGTTCTCCCAAATATTTATTACCTTTCTTAAGCATTTTTTTTACATTTATTGTGAAGCACCTTGTGATTTTTATCTAGAGAGGCACTACAAAAAATTCTTCCTTCAATAAATAATGTACTTACTAAACAACACAAAAATAAAATATAATTTGTAAATAAAAGGGTATGAAGTTGAAGTGTGAAATTTAAGTAGCATTAACAATAAAGTTGCACCAAAATTAAACCCCAACAAGACACATTTTTTCTCCATTATCATAATCCATACCTGCTGCATCATCTGAGGCAACAGAGCTGGCGTTGATGCCCGAAAGTCCAAACAGGGGACACTCTCTGTCGGTGTTCACGTGGCCCCATTTGTGACATTTGATGCATCTCACGTTACGGACCTCAGAGATTAAAACAATAATAAACAAATAATGAATAAACAAGTGATATACACTAAACTAAACAGAACAACAAATGGAGATGACTTCAAAATATACTCAAAATGACTTTATTTATACCCTGCCATATATAAAGCTCATAATTTGTGCTGCTTAAAAATGCAAATTGTTACCTGGATTCCAAACGGCTGATCTCTAATATTCATGTCATCTTTTGCATACCTGCAAGAAAAAAATAAGAAATAATTACTTAAACGGAAATAGTTTTTTATGAAGAACAGAAATGTAAAATGTTAGAATCATCACTTACTTTTCTCTAGGAGCTCCTTTCTGCCACTCAAATTTGTAATCATCCTCTCCTTCCTGAGAAACCCAAATATTTTTGTGATGAAAACATTGAGCCGCAGAGCTAAAGTTCTTCAGTGACCCTGACATTTTGATATTTAGACTAGCAAGTCTTCATACTTTACCTCCTTCTTTTCCTCTTCATGTCAGAAGCATATAGAGAAACAAACAGATCAAGCGTATACTCTTTAAACACAGTTATCCTAAGAGATGGAATTAGACATATTACTGTGTTGCACATAAAACCAATTTACCTTTGGAAGCTCCAGGTGGAGCCTCATACATGAAATTGAGGCCGTTTTTAACCCGATCATCCCCCATCAATAACCTATTGGATGAGGAAATTATTATTATTACTATTTAAATCTTTTGAACATTGATCAAATATTTTGATTGTATGAATTTGGAGATTGAAAGATTATATTATTTCTGATGATCAAACCTGTTGTTGTAGGTATCCTGCTCTTTCAGATATGCCTGCATGAGATCTTCTTGCCTTGTTTTCTCGAAAGTCAGTTTCTGTTCGGCTATCCATACCTAATAAAGAAATAAACATGGAGGGATGGAGCACACATCATGCCACCTTGGGCATATTGACACACTGTTCGAGCTAATTTACTATGAAATGCGTTTTAACTCCGTTCACATGCATGTATGGTGGATGAATACAAACCCTAACATATTGTGATAGAATACACGAATATAATACACAGATTTTGAATAGAAAACACTACAGAATACACGAGAGAACCTCTAACGTAAAAAACAAACAAACATAATATCTAGTTTGAGATTAACATATATCGTTCACTAACACAAGACTGAAATCCACAAATACCTTGTAGCAAACTAACATTTAAATTGTCCATGAGCTACTAAACTTCTCAATTCATCATTCGTGCATGGGCTAAAATATTGTGAAATATTCAAAGTTTTGGTTTTAAATGTTACTAAATTCGATGTTTGACATGCTAACACTAGCATAGCTTTAAGCTAACATATTAAGATTACGTCAGTTTGACTCAAAATACTAAATATTACCGTGAACAACCTCTTACCTTTTTTATGTTTGACTTCGAAGCAGGGTGAAAATCTTTCTTACACATGAAATTAGCAAATGACTTCCCCATGGTTGATAACAAGTATCGTTAGCTAGTTGAGTGGTATAAAGCTGCGTTGCTTGAAGCTAAACGAGGAAGTCGTGATGCGTCCACACAACCGTCGCACCTTACGGCGCACCAGCGGAGTTTACGATCCATTTAAAACCCATTGCACGGAATCACCACTAACCGGATCACGCGCCGGTTTCCAAAAAGAAGTTAACCCACTAGCAAATCCGCTTGTAAACGCAACAAATTCGAAGTTAGTTTCATATTAGATAATGTCCGTCATGATGGATTAAACGGGTGAAAGATACACCTTTATAGTTAAAAATATATACAACACTATGATGTTATAGAGAAAGCATACGATGTAAAATATATTTTGAGTGGTTGAAATAATAGTGATTCAATTCTTTCTTAAAAACAAATACAAAACTAACTTCAGTTTGGTCACGTGACAGGACTACTTCCGTGTCAAAAACTCAGTAAACATAAAAAAGACAGAATCGAAACTGATACTTAAATCGTCCAGAGGGCAGGTAAGGCGTTTAAAAACATCAACAATATACTCTTAAACAACTCATTTATAAACATTGTTAGTGTTTGTTTGGTTTTTGCTACTTTCGCTAAAATAGCCACAAACTAGAGCATTAAATCAGGCGGAGTTTGCTATTTTTAGCTCATTACAGAAATGCACCCATCCTCCTGTGATACCTTTGTGGCTCTTCCTCCCTCCACTGAGGGACATCACATCATTTTTGGGAAAAACTCGGACAGGCCCTGTGATGAAGTCCAAGAGGTTGTGTATTTTCCTGCCAAAGACTATTATAATCCAGATGAGAAACTTGAGGTAGGTCACACACAGTTTATTGCTCTGCAAATTATATTCCTTCCTTCCTTAGTCTGACTGAGGATGTCAGGTTGTGATTACTGTCCTATTCTTTTTTGGTGTGTGTGTGTGTTAAAGTGCACTTACATAGAGATTGAGCAGGTTGCCCACACTCATGCGGTTGTGCTGAGCAGACCTGCATGGCTGTGGGGGGCTGAAATGGGTGCAAATGAGCATCAAGTGTGCATTGGAAACGAGGCAGTGTGGGGCAGAGAAAGTGCTAATGAAGAAGAGGCTCTGCTAGGCATGGATCTGGTCAGGTAAGTAAATAATCTGTCCATCTGAAAGATTTTTATTCATACCCAGTTTTATTCAGATTTTTGAAAATGGCTTAGACAAAACACATATCAGTGGTTCTACATTTGTTTCCCCAGACTTGGACTCGAGAGGGCAAACACAGCTGAGAAAGCTGTTGGTGTTATCACCGAGCTGTTGGAGAGGTACGGTCAGGGAGGAACATGCATGGAGGATGAAAGTAGCTTCACCTACCACAACAGCTTCCTCATCTCAGACAGGAAAGAAGCATGGGTGCTGGAAACATCAGGGAAGCACTGGGCAGCAGAAAGAGTGCAGGGTAATTCATGACTTTAGTTAATTTGAGATTGTAATCAAAAAGGTGACCAAGTCTTTTTTATAAATTGAAATTCAGAACTGAAATGATGGCTTTTGGTAAAACAAGATAAATGTTATAACCTCTAATGACTGTAGCACAGAAGTATGAATATTTTGAGCTGATAAATGAATAATTTTACATGCATAATGTTTGGCGTTGCACCTATTAACATGAAAATGTAACCAAAATACAATTCACAAGTGTCAAAATATTAAGGGAGAAAACTAAATATCCACCAATCACTTCTATATTTTGTCCACTAGATGGCAGCACTTACACTATTCCTTCACTGACCCTTTATGCCACAGCAGCGTTGAAGGGTTAATCATAAATAAATAAATAAAACATCCTTATCTCATTGTTTTAGGTCACGGTTAAATAAAGTCTTTCCCTCTTAGGTGGATATCGCAACATCTCAAACCAGTATGGAATAACAACAAAGATAGACAAGGAGCATCCAGGAATGAGGGAATATGCACAGAGCAAAGGATGGTGGGACGGAAAAACAGAGTTCAACTTCGCTACGGTTTACTCCTACTTGACCACAGCCAGAATAGGGTCTGCTGGGAGTCGGTACTGCGAGGGGAAGAAGCTGCTGGAGAAGAGTGATGGTTAGTTAACTCAGATATCAGTATGGAGCATTTAAATCACAGCAGGTTGGACATTCTACTTTATCTTGTTTTGTTTTGTTGAAGGTCACATTACTGCAGAGGCCATGATGGACATCCTACGAGATAAAGAGAGCGGCATCAACATGGAGGGCATGTTTATGACAACAGGAAGTATGGTGTCTGTGATTCCGACAGATCCCACTCTGCCAGGGATTCACTACTTCACCGCAACTCCAGACCCTGAGAGGTGCTGCATGAGAACGCCTCCGTCTCTGTGAATGAAATAAGACTATAATCTCATTTTATTCCAACAGGTCTGTATTCAAGCCGTTCATCTTTGTGCAGAAGGTCAACCTACTAAAGGAAACCACTTCCCCCAGTTTTGGCCCAGATGATCCAGTGAAGAAGAACCCGCGCTTTCAGAGCAAACCGGATCGGAAACATCCACTGTTTGTGAAACATGAACTCATTGCTGCCATCATCGAATCCTACAAGGTTTAAAACTAATCAGTTCAAAGCTAGAACTGATCAGAATGGTCTTTTAAATGTAATGTTTGCCGCAAATGGACTCTGTTTTCTACTTTGTTTATAGGAAAGGGGGCAGAAGATCACAGAAGGCATGAGGCGGCTGGAGAAAGCACTGATGGAAGAGATGGAGACGTACCTGGAACGAGGCGTGGAGGAGCCTGATCTGTTGGTGAACTTGTTCCCAGGATCGGTTCAGAAAGAGATGTCCGTTTACAACAAAAGCTGAGAACTTCAACCCTCAAGTGATGAAATGTTAAATCCAAACGCAAATAGAATAACATGTTTTAACACAAACCAGCAGTAAAAATAAACCCCTGAGTGAATAAACAAGGATTTAAGTGAATGTTTTCTCAAGCTAAACTGGAATAAATTTATTTAATGAGAAATAAAGTTGATTTATTTATTTTCTGTACAACCATTGACCAAACATGATACAGACATATTTGCAATAATTTATCAGCTTTTTAAAAATTATTTTACTGTACTTGCAAAAAGCATAGCAGCAACTTTATGTTCTAGAACAAGGTTGACATGTTTTGTTCACATATTTTTTAATCTTTGGTTATCTGAACAGAAACACTAACAGCTGCTGTCAGCTCTTAGGTCAGATGTACGATCAGCTGTTAAAGAAGTGATCAAGGCACTAAAAGTCTAAACAAACGCCCAAATCTGGACCTGGAACAGCAGATTTATCTCAAAAAGAAGATAAACTAAGCTGAAATCTGTAAATAAGCTTATAAGTACAATCACATTAATAAGCTCAGCAGAGCTAACTTTAGTCCAGCTGTGTTCTATAGAAGTTTTCTGACTTGGCCTTGTTTCCCCCAGTGTAAGTTTAACTCCTGAGAGCAAAAGTATGAACATAATTTACAGAAACATGCGTAAAAATAAAAACTTTCATTTTTCCTGACATCGATTTTATAAAAATTAATTCACAGGATCAAGAGAATACAATTTTCCAGTGATTTAGGCAGTCGAGGTTAAAGGTTTTTCATGTTCCAAAAACATTTATAATATCAGGCGTCACCTTCCCATCATTTGATCTGTTATTTAATGCTTAACCAGAGATGGGTGGTTTTGCAGCAAGGCTCTGAGGTAAATCTGAAATTACGTAGTTTAGCCTCCTGATTTCATCAGGGACTCCATCTCAAACCACTAAAGCTGACACTGTTTGGTATGTAAAGGATTCTGGTTCTACAACAATGAAAAGTTGTATAGAAATGACCTTAAATGACTGTTTTTGTAGGAGTTTGTTTTCCCTGCAGCATCAGCTCAGCCACTTATGACTTAACACTTTGAACATGAGCACACGTGCAAACAGCATTTAAATTAACATTAGTCTTGTTAGAAATATTGTTTTTTAATCATGAGAGACTAATAATCCCTTTTACTGATTCATGCTTTCCCCCCATTGGACCACTGTTATTATGACAGTGTTCATTTTAACCACTTAATAAAGCTGTGGTTGTATGGCTAAACACACATTTACTGTATGTGCACGAAAATCAACTGATTCACAGTTGAAAACTACAGCTGCAGCTTTAAATTTCAGAAAAGCAAATACAAATTCTGACATTACAAATTTCCCTTTAAGATCCTCGTGCACAACGGAGTTTTTGATTTGAGACATGTACTGTAGCCAGTAAGCTCGTGCCGCAAATCATTAAATGCATTTTTAAACAGAAATGCTGAGTTGATTAGGGACAAACACCAACTTAGGTCATTATGTTTCATATTGTGAAGTAGTAATGAAGTTGACTGTCTTCAAAGCTGTATTCCTGCTTGATGTGCAGAAGCACTCCCCCCTGCTGCAGCCGGGTCCCGTACAACAGGGCCTCGCCGCGGTCCTGCGCCAAGCCCACCTGCTGAAGCCAATCCACGAGTTCGCAACCGAGAAAACAGTCCGCCATTGTCTTCATTCCACACCTAAAAACACAAAAGTGCTGTTTTCAACTGTGGATAACCTCCAAATATATGTTTACATGAGAAAAAGAACCCACGTGAATCAACCTCAAACCAGACGACAGAACACTCTCACCTTCTCTTTTTAACAATGTCGTGAAAACACTGCTGCTTGTGGTATTTGGTGAACTGGGTGCAGGTCATCTTGATGTCATCAGGTAAATCCGTCTGCGGCTGCTCCTCTTTCTTCTTTCCAAAACATCGATGGTACAATCTAAAAAAAAAAAAACTTTTAGACACAATAATCACACAGAGCATATTATAAAATATCTCTTAATAGTCGTATTTACCTCTTTAAAGGCAGCAAAATAAAATGCTTGTCCAGTCCAAAAAGTGCAAATGAAATGAATCCCTGTCAGAAAAAAACGGCAGCTGTTAAAGCTGAGGTTGTGTGTGTGTGTGGGGGGGGGGGGGGGGGGGGGGGGGGGTCCACATGTACCTGTCCATAGATGGCTATAGCAGAGAAGAACTGCAGCTCCAGGTGGAGTCTCCCAGGGGTGTGGTTACAGATCAGCCACAAGCAGCTGGAGAAATTCTGTCATTACACAAAGAAATAAATAATAATAATAACATAAACAAAAACTTTCACATCTCCAACATTATGTTTTAGTTTGTGCTACAATTATAAAAAAACAAATCATAAAGAACTTTGTGTCTTTACTCACAGCCAGTGTTCATTTTGTTAACCTAATTCAGTAACACTTTACAATAAGGGTCCCTTTATTACCATTAACTAGTGTATTATTAAGCATTAATTAACCATTTAAATAAAGTGTTAACTGCTTTTATGCATTGCATAGCATCACTAAATATATTATTTAATGCATTATTAAGCAGTTAGCTAATGTCTATTACATAACCAAAGGGTCCAAAATTCATTCAGTAATGATTAATTATGCTTAAGTAATGCTTAAAAGTCTATTGAGCATTTAGAAAGTGTTTTCAAAGGGGATCAATGTTTTTATCTTACCTAAGGTCAGATAAGGGCGTCCTGATGACAAACACAGTACAGCATTAGTAAAACATTAACAATTGTTTATTAATGCCCATCCAAAGTACAGGGTAGGATAAGTGGACACATTAGTTAGCTGTTACTTATCAGAGCCCTGAACGGGCCTAAAATCTGAGCCCGTGCCCGGCCCGAGGGGATGGAGCCCCAGCCCGACCCGGTCCGAAAAGGTTTTCAGGATTCTCTGGCCCGACCCGAGCCCGACTTTTTTATAACCAACTAAACGAAAACCAAGTGCGTCAATCCTGACCAATGTGTTAAAAGACATGCAGGATCCGATCGATTTGTTTTCCCCTCATTTACAGTCACGGAGATGACGGCGCACTGGCTCTGGTGGAAATCAAGTTAAATTTGATCCCTTTCCAACAATTTTCACAAGAAAACAAAACAGTTAAAAGCAGGGCTTGTGTTGTGTTGACCGGACAGTTCCCGTATTTGACCGTTTATTTTGACGGAGAAAGAATAGAAAGAAATACCCCGACGCATGCAGACGAACTGACATTTAATTCATTACGCACATCGCAGATGTAGCTAAATCACCCAAGAAAAGATTCCCATTTGAACATCTGAGCTGGACAGTGCTCAGCTCAGCTCGCTGTCAGCGCATATGTGCACAGTGAGCTGAAGATGTGGAGAGGGGCTTGGAGCGCGTCGCAGAACCAGAGCGCATGCGGGAAGGTTCCTCCCACTGAAGCGAGTGTGTTCCAAACCCGGTCTCTCAGAGAGACTTGTCACTTAGAAAATGTTCCCTGATTATGAAACTTTGGCTGAATAGCGCTTGTTCCTGTCTCCAATGTGGCGACACATCCAGGAGCCGTCTGAGGAGAAGCCCAGAATCTCACATTGTCTTCAGCTCAGAAAGCGCCTATGATTACGCACAAGCGTGACCCGTCAACCCGGTCTCACAGTAAGACTGGGTTGGACCTGTTCAGGTTTACGCAGACAATCTTTACATAGAATTGACTTACAGATATAAAATTAATTCAGTAAAATATAAAGCATTTTATTTAAATATCCATTTATTATTTTACAAGCACAGAGAGCCGCATCAGATGGATGGAAGGGCCGATCCCTGGTATAGCCTATAAAATGACATGTAGAGGACACAAACTCAATACATTTCTTTTATTGTGAGGTAATAATTTCTCCGAGTTTTGCGGTTGCGGGCGGGAGTAGACATGCACGCTGCGGTTGCGGGCGGTAATGGTCAGAAATTCAGCAGGAGCGGGCAGGAGCGGGATGAAGAAAACAGTCCCGCGCAGGGCTCTACTGCTGCGTTTAAGTGTTTCAGTTTTTTTTAATGAATTAAATTAAAAATAAAGGCGCCCGGGCCGTGTCCAAGGTAATTACACAGTCGTTGGCCCGAGGGCCAAGGGCTTCAGTGCAGGGCTCTATTTGCTTATTCACTGCAAATACACAACCATATTACATTTTTATTTTAATAATTATTAAGGGTTAATTAACAATTTAACTAACATGGTAATTAACACACCTGATGCAAAGTAATTTAATTATCCAAGTGTTATTTAAAGCTTATTACTTCATTAACTAAGGTTCAGTAATAGACATTAGTTAACTGCTTAATAATGCATTAAGTAATATGTTCAGTAATGCTATGTAATGCATAAAAGCAGTTGTTAACATTTTATTTAATGGTTTATTAATGCTTAATAATGCACTAAGAAATTTTAATAAAGGGATTCTTATTGTAAAGTGTTACCCATAATTCTTTCATTATTTTTTGTCACAAAAGCTGCATTTCCACTACGGTCAACTCGGTCTGGGCCGGGTGACGTTGCCTATGGACTTGACAGCTTCTCAGCGCTGCTTTACTGCAGTTTGTTTTGTGATGAGCTGACCCAACACACCCACCTATGGACTGATTGGCTGAACATCATTATGTCACTCTCAGGCCTACCTATTAGTGGGAGGTAGAATTGGCCTGTGGCCGCTTCTTGCATGTGCTTTGATTAGCAATCTAGATGCTGTGGGGTAAATATGTCTGCAGCTCGGCCCAACTAGAGGTGACTGTCTGCTGTAAGCGCTCTTGGATGGAAGAGGAGCTCACGGCAGCACCGCTGCTCAGTGAGAAGAGTAGGAAGCTGTGTGCTTCATGTCAGAGCCTCCAAAGGCAACACCGCTCACACCAACGTTGATTTACCAACATATGGCACTTAGGAATGACACCACAGAGCTCTACGCACCACTTTGGCACCTCCTATGTGGATATGTAGTCTGGCCATGACCCATAGACGGATCTCAGTCATGGGGCAGGATCTATGGTCGTCTATACACTGTATAATTTAGTCAAATATTTCCATCTTTTGAGTAAAAAGACCCAAACAAAAACAAATTGGATGACTAGATCTTGACTCAAATTAAACAGTTTCAGTCAAAGCTACATTAAAATGTATTTTCAACATTAACGCTGCTCACAGCCAGAAGGAAGACAGTCAGAAGCAGACACAGGAGCACGTGACGGGCCACTTGTCTGTCTGGAGGCGGCTGCAGCTCCTCCATCTGAGCAAGAAGACAGTCTGTTGACTCACAGCCACTCTCACACTGGCCTGAAGGGGGCAGCATCACAGCAAAAATTAAACATTTTTGGTTTTAATTGTGCAATTAAAATATCCCACAACAGCTCTGTTGTTTAGGAGTGAAATACCTGCGAGGATGTTTGGCATCTGGTTGATATTTGTACTGATGATCATGTCGGGCATGGGCGTGGCTCGAGAGCACTCACATGTGAGGCACGCTGATCAAGAAACGTAAACAGATAAATTCACATGTTAATAGTAATTCAACAAATAAAGAATCCTATTTTGTTACCAGTCTGTTATTTTCCATTCTGTTGTCTCACGTGGATCACGGTTGCTAAATACTTAAGACACATAACTACTGCTGTCCAGTCATATCGACCTTGTTTACATCTCAGTTAAGTAAGAGAAGTTTTGCACAATCATTAGTTCACCAGTCGCTTTAATATCTTACTTCCTCCAGTGTTTACTTCAAAGTTTTGCAACCGTTTTTCTCAGACATGTAACTGAAGATGTGTCTGATAACTTCCTCTCTGAGTAGATAAATCCATATTTGTTTAACAAACTATTTAGTGATTTGCTGATTTGATCATCTAATCTTTGTTACATTGAACAAAACCCAAATGACTTGTCAGGGAAATAGAGATAAATAAAGGTTCTTCACCTCTGTCTGTGGATGAGTTTTCAGGCTCCACCTGAGACGGGTTTGCTGCTTCGACTTGATTCCGCGTGGCGTCGAGTGATGAGGTGTCATTTTGGTCCTGACCATCCTGAGCCCAGCTTCCTCTACTGAGACACACCAGAGAGCCTCCTCCTAGCAGAATGCCGAGGCCGACTACAACAGTGGTGAAGATTATCTGACAAAAAGAAAAAAAAACAGACTTAAGACATTTATCCTGCTTAAAAGGTTTACTGAAACTTATCTACTAGTTCTGGTACCTGTAGTCGGCCGTAAAAGAAAGCTGGATTAATTGTATCTGGCATTTTCTCCCCAGTCAGGAGCAGAACAGCAGTTACCAAACAAGGAATCCTGTCATGAAAAATTTCATAAAAATGTGGTTAGACACATCAGTAAAGAGAAACAAAGAATCAAAATACAAAGTACACAGGCGCCGGTGGGTCCCCTCCGACCACCAGCAGCAGCAAGGCAACGACTGAGCGAGGAGGGAACCTGCAATCCTCTGGTTACAGGGGGCAGGAATTTACAGGTGCAATATGTATGAATGACACCCTGTGGTCAAATGTAGGTACTGCAGCCCATTTATCTAAACAAAAAGTGACTCTCACTGCTGTGCTGTGCGTTTCATGGCTGTTGCCAGTTACAGATCAGCATCTATGTGACAAATGAAGACAAGACATACACAGAATGTCGATAAGTATATAAACACATTAGCACTGGGTTTTATTTTACAGTAGTGAACACTTACTGCACTTATTGCAGCAATATGCCTCAGGCATTGGAGGAAGTGTGGTTGTTTCTGGGTGATAGAGAAAAATTGGTTTTCGCTGACATTACTGCTTAAAAATCATAGCTGCCTTAAAAGCAAAACACCTGTTGCTTCATTAAAATGCAAGTGTTATCCTTTGCCAGCTTTCCCGTCTCAACAGGGAGGACAATGACCTTCCTCAGACCACGCTGGTCTGTGTTATCAGTTATACTCCCATGGGAAACAGAATGTTGACCGAATGCACCTGGTTTTGTATGAGGGAGTTGTGGCATTGTTTTTACTCCCTACATTAAACAGCTTTCCACCTGAATGTGTACAGAGCAGTTTAGGAATGTGTTGTGACTTGTGTGCGTTTTTTTGTGTGTGTAATAAAAGCTCTGAGAGAACAGACGTTCTCTGAGACTGTGTGAACCGAGCTTACGAGTCTGTATGATCATTGCTTCACCTTTCTCCCTTTGCAAAGAAAACTGAACAATAATATTGCTCTAATCTTCTGTGCGTTTGACTTCTCTTTACGGTGACTTGGTTTTATTAAGAAATAACCCAACACTGGATTACTCCGGTTTGCTGGCTTCGGTTCTTTAAAGGTGTGGTTCACCAAAAAGCCATTTTTAAATGATTATTTCTGATTATAATCGACCATTCTGACTTTTTCATGCAGGCTGAGCATGAAGATAGACTTCTACATGTACATCCCACGTTAGTTCCTGATAGAAAATAGATGGCAAAGTGCTAGAAGTTGAAAAGCCTGACAGATCTACATCACGGTGTCACTTAACATTCATGGACTCACCCATCTTGACTCATGACGGGGAAAGTTGTTGGTTTAGAATCCAGGAAACAGCAGAGAACTTCTTGACTAGCAGAAGCTAAAACTGTTAGCATTAGCAACTCCACCAGGCTTGTGTTATTTGTGGCGATAAAACATCAACGTTTTAGAGCAAACGGAGTCAGTGGTAGTCAAGTTGATGTTAATCATTCCAAGGCAAGATGTCCAAATATCAGGAAGTAAGATCCTGTCATCTGAAGCTCAGCTCTGATGTGGCTCATTTCGACTTCCTGAAACAGGCACATCAGGGCTTTCCCCCCCTAGAGTACGACTTACAAGGCATTCATTCTAACTAGTGACTGCTGAAAATGTATTGATTAAATGAGTGAACCACATCTTTAAACAACTCTGGAACTTTTAGCCAGCTGGTGCTGAATTACTAATGCCTCGCGGGCTAACTGATGATTTTTTTGAAAGGTGAAAACCTGACAACCTCTCAGCCGACTAAGAAGGAAATCAATGCAACCTTCTTTCCACAAATGTTAAAACAGACAAATAAATGATTAGTAAATAAAGACAGCAAAAATTTCACAGAAATAAATATAAAGAAAAAAGAATGATAATTAAAAAATATACAAAACAAGATAGAAATAATAAATGTTTTATTTTATCCATGTAATGATTTTATTGGCATATTTATTATTTTTAGAACAATTTCTATAATTGTATATTAAATCTTAGGTAATAATGCTGTAGCATCACTGTGGGTAGACTGTAGTAGGAAACATTAGTGCATTCAAACCATAAAACTATAAATCATTTATTAATGGTTCACAGATTGTAGTTATGGCTCTGCCCTTTAGTGGGCCAGATGAGCTAGCCTTTGTTTGCTGGAAAAGAAAAGTGACTCACCCCCAGCCTGCAATGACAAACAGGCCTGGTGATCCATTCAGATCGTCATATTTTTTCATGAGCACGATGGAAAGTGCTATTAATCCTGAGAAAAATCACATTTATGTTACAAAAAGTAATAATAAAACTTCTGCTTCAGAGCTCAACAGTTGCATGAGGGAGGGGGGGGGGGTGTTCATACCTGGCCATATGAAAGCACTGTACAGGGAGGTGGACAGGAGAGCAAAAGTAAAGATCTGGCTGATGAAGTTGTCCTCCTTCACCACAAAGTTCCACAGAATCATCCCGATGCAACTGGACAACTAGAAACCAGCCCAGAAACACATTAACAGGAGTCTTTACTTACGTAAGTGTACCGAAGCCACGTTAATCATTTGTTTTAATGAACAATAAGTAAAAAACTACTAAATGGTTTACCTGTGCCAAGAAAAGGTTGACTGTAAGCATGTGAGGTAGCCTCTTGAATTTTTTACTTAAAAACATGACAGGAATCGTCCACAGCTGTACAGAAAAAAAATTAATAAACAAAGTTGTGTTTATATTTACCTAAAAGAAAAAAATATTTAGAATATCAACATAAAACGTTATGGGAAAAATGATCATGCAAAGTGCAAACACAGATGTTTCCTCCCCAAAAATATGTATATACATCTTTAAAAAAAAATCCACTGAAAGTGAGAATGAGGAAGTGAGTCTGAGTCAAGGTGCAGTTCAAAACATTTACAAAGAAATCTAGTCGGTCTAGTATTAGAAAAATGAAATAAAAAAAACCTGCTGGAGATTCCACTCCTAAGAAGTAAATGACTACATAACCAGCTGACACAAAGGCGGGTGTGAACAGCAAGCGTAAACATGCCAAACTGAAGTTGTTTATGGTGACTTACCAGTGCAACTAAGCTCACGATGCTTATATCAAAACTGACAGTCTGCAGTGAACGCATCAGAAGCTGCGGATCCATCCAGTGGATTGTAAGCAACCAGGCTGAAACATACATTATAGGAGCTGAGAGAAAAGTGCTGATCACCATTCCTGAGGTCACCTGTTAGGATTCAAAAACAACAATAATCAGAGAGGTTTAAAGAAGAAAACATTTACAAAGTGACTAATCTTCTTCAAAACAATGCAAAACGTACCACTTCCAGTTCTGTGTTATAATAAATGGCATAGATGGCCACACTGGGAGCAGTGGGGAACACGCCGTAAAGAAAAGCATAATCTGAGAGGCTGGAGTGGTTCATAGAGCTGGTGTTGTTGTTATCCAACAGGTCCACCATGTCTTTACAAAGGAGCGGCATCAACAGCCTGAAAGGCAAAACAAAAGAGAGATAATGACTGAAAAGTACACATAAAGTAGCCGTGTGAGGCCTCTAAGTGAAGCATTGATTTTGTAATGTTCTGTGATCTAAAACGTAGGTCTGAGTCATCCAAAGCATTAGCATGAAACATGTTGAGTACTTTACTTTACTGATCCTTTAAACACACACTGTGAATCGTGCTAGCGCTGCGGTGGTGACACAAAACCATCAAGTCGGCTTTAATTTCACTCACAGTTTAGCTGTGATGAGCAGAATCAGTGTCACGACTGTGGATCTGGTGAGTTTCCTCAACTGTCCCACCATGGAAAGACCCAAATAGAACAGAGCTGCTCCCCCAAAAGAGTTGGCCAAGCCATCAACAAACTCTGCCATGAAAGCAGGAATTGTTCCGTGCAGGACAAAGTGGGCGCTGATGCCAAAGACAACCATGAAAACAATGGGGTTCTTCAGGACCTGCAGAAGCACAAATCCCACAATCCTCAATTTGCTCTGCTGGTGGCTTCCCTGATTCTTCCACTTCTGGAATTCACAGAAGGCAAAGCCAATGGGATTGAGGAGCATCAGGGACACAGGTGCAACCAGGTAGATGTACTGGAGGTATTCTGGGTACGTACTCTGGTAGAGGGCTTCAACTGTGGATGGACGACAAAACTAAAGTCAGAAAGATTAAACTCTAAAGCCTTCATTTCATACTGAAGAGTTGCACAGAGACAGTTCTGAAGATTTAGACGCTGAAAAAAGCCTCAAATTATGCAACAGGTGTGGATAACTGGGAACAAGTTCATCCTGCTCGAAATTTCAAACCGCCTAATAACTGTCTTCATTCCAAACATGCATATTTATTCGTTCATGCTGATATAAATTTATTTTGTGCGTTTTAGCAATTAAGACACTCATAATGTAGAGCCAAGCCTTATGTCAACATGAATTGTAGGTTAATCCAGGAAACCCGTGTGTGTGTGTGTGTTTGTTGGACAACAAAGATCAACACTCACCTATTGGGTAACCCAAAGCAAAGTCATTGCTTTGGGTTGCAAATATGGAGAAGAGCCCAGCCTTACTGAAGCGACTGTCAGGACTGGCAACAATCAGAGTCAGGACACAAACAATGAAGAACACACACACTTTGGCCACGAGGATGCTCCAGAGAAATGGCCAAATGACATCACCAAAGTCCAGCAACACCATGTTCTTAAAGAGAAGTGCTGGCAGAGCAAATTTGGACACAAAATTCCCCAACCCTTTGGCTTGAGTGGGGGTGATGATGTTGGTCCTTCCTGCGATGTAGCCACACAAAATAATCCCAAAACACTCCAGGAGAGCTGGTAGGAGTTTGTCTATGGACATGGTGGAGGGGGGTGGAGAGTTGTCCCCCACTTTGAGGGACAGTTTCAAGCTGTCTGGTGTCTCCATCATGCTGGTCCCCCCTGTGGTGACAGCTGTCAAGATTGGTTTGTGGTCATGCTAATTGTGGGTCCTTCACTGATCGGCAATGATAAGGGCAAAACGACACGTTAGGTTTGTAATCAAACTTAAATAGAGAATTTTAAACCTAGATGGTGCCGTTTAAGACAAATAACAAGAATATGATTTTATCGTTTTACTAAATGCATAAGAGACTCCAACAGGGTTCTGCTGAAATAATGTTAGCAATAACAAACCGACTCACCTTCCTAGTAACGGCTTTCCGTCTTTTATGTCCCATGTGTCGGTCACAGTCCAGTAGTTTAAATGTAAACCAGCCAGCTAACGTGGTAGCTGGAGGCACGGCGATAAAATACGGAGTTACAGCACGGAGCTAAACGTTTAGCTTTGCCGTGGAAACACGACGGAATGACCCTAAACTACCGTTTCACAAATAGTACATTCAGACCATAGACTGTACATATACTGGACAATTCGATTCCATAGGCTTCAATTTCACGTTATCTGTCCATAATGGGAGGTGTCCACCACCGCCATTTTGACCGTGTCACAGGTTCCGTCCAGCCCAGACAATTCCATAAAAGGGAAGAGAGGAGGCGCTGAGGGTGTGGCTGTAAGGCTGGGCTCGAGTGACGACACCCAGGCGAACTAGCTACGAGCTAACCTGAAGCTAACCCTGGCTAACCCAAAGCTAAAGCGGAGGTGGGAGCCGAGCTAACGGATGTAGCCACCTAGCTTCAACCCAACCGGAGCTAACTGGAACACCCATCGACCTGAACCTTACACGGAGTTTAGGTGGAGGTTTTCTGCGCCTGTTCGTGAGAAGTACCTGTATTAAAAAAGTTTTAAATCGGTAAGTTTATAATTTATTTCCGTAATGAAAACATTTTGCTTTGAGCAAGTTTTCAGTAGTTTTTTTGGCGCTATCACTCCTGAGTCGCACCAGCCATTAAATGTATCATGAAGAGAAAATATATTTAAGTCGTATTTTGGGGGGACATTTTATTATCTTTCTTACAAAATCTGAGACCAAGCGTTTCACATTGCAACACAAGCACCGGTAACCATAACAGAATTTACAGCCAGCAGAGGAGAGGATGGCGGTGTTTCAAACCCTCCCGGCCGGCGTGTAGAGCTCATTCCTGGGCTGGAGCCGGCCCTCAGCACCCCGCCACAGGCTCTAACAGATGCTGGCGGTGTTTCATATATTTCCAAAACGTAATACTTGTTTGTATCTTGTACAGCCAACTAGCCTTTATTCTGGACTCAGTACAATTTACCAAAAGTAAAGAGACATTATACAGATGAAGTAAGCACAAGATAACTTACTGGAAGACACAGAGTTATCATCAGAACCAGAACAAGAGAGCCTGATAACAGTCATGTGAAAATAACAGTTAAAAAGTATGTATGTATAATAGAAATAAAAATATATTAGAATTAGTGTAACTCACTGTGATCCAAACAAATCAGCCATAGCTGATGAGTAAATATGACATGAGGTCTGGGAGTTTTTAAGTTTCATTCTTTTATTACATTTTTTTCTTAGATCTATTAAAAGGTCACCATGGCAGCCTGTGTGTCTCCAACGTCAGCTACACAACGCAGCGTGTAAGTTCCAAGTACTTGTCTTGACCACTTCATGAATGGTTTTGTACTTTAAACAGCTAGGCCAAACCTGTTATTTTTTCCTCCATAGCCATTTGGATCATTGGAGACAGCTGAGTGAGGCGTGGTGCCCAGAGAGCTGCAGAGACAACCTTGGCCTCCCTGACGTCTGTGTCTCTTGGTTTGGTTGGGGCGGACCATCGACATACATACATGTGCCGACACTTTGCGCCCTGTTTTATAAACTGTAGTGTTAAAAATAAATGTTTTTGCTCAATTACTTGAATTTCTTTGGTTAAGACAAAAGTGAGGAATAATCATTTACAAGTTATTTGTACAACAGGCCCATTTTAAATCCCAACAGTTTCTTAGCAGACAATAGAAATGTGTTCTTTACTAACTTTACTTGGTTTGAAAATCTTACTAAAATAAACTTGAGTGCCGTATTGCAAAACCCAATCATACTTGTTATGTAAACATTAGCTTTGTAGATATTTTTTACAGATATATATTTGTGTGCAACAAAAACCAAACTTAAATAATTTGTCATTCTTTATTGAAAAACAACAAAATACAGGTATACAGAAGTGTGGGAAAATGATAATGTGAAAGTATTGCACTATAAATGAAGTGAGATGAGATGAAGGTGAGATGAAGGTGGACGCCAGCGGGCTGGACGCCGGACGAAGAAACCTGGAGACGGATCGCTCAGACAGGAAGGGAAGAGCTTCCTCTTACCTTGATGGAATTAAAGTTAGCCGTCGTCTGAACGCCCAACCGTACGGTCTGAGGTCAAAGGTCACAGGAAACACACACCAGTCAGCAGTCATACAGATGCATAAAGATAACTAGCCATGGCAACCAGCTGACATGTCCCCACTTTCACCAAAACCTGGTGCCTGCCGGGTCACCTGAATTCCTGTGTGATGTCAGCACGGTCGGCCGTGACTGCTGCCATCAGAGGTGACCTCTGATCAGCTGAATGAACTCACCTTCCAGGGTGACGCCGTGTTAGAGTCGGCTTCATCCTGTAAACAAACAAATGAGTGGTAACATAAACACCACGTCTGGTTCTGGTGGAGGCGGAGGACAACACGCACCTTTCCAGGAGCAGAACCCAGATGTTCTTGTTGCTACAAACAGAGACGAGCAGAGTTAAACCAGGAAGTGAGAGGGACCAGCTGCTGCAGACAGGTGACGCTCACCTGAGCCTGAACCATAGGAGCCTCCTCAGCCATCAGACCTTCTGACTCCAGTTCAGATGCCACCTTGTTGATGTCCCTCAGGCGGGACTCATTGGCCTTCAGGTCCTGCAGGACAAAAGCACCTGCTGATCACCTTGTTGCTGTCGGGTTAACAGGTCTGGTGTTAGAACGTGGTGGATAAGAATGTTCTGACGGGCCGAGGATTCTGAACTCACCCTGCAGGACTGGGCCTGCTCCTTCAGGGCCTGGATGCTGCTGCCGTAAGCCGACAGGTCCGACATCAGGGCCTCGTGCTTCTTCAGGAGAGCCTGTGGAGCAGAACATCAGAACCTTCAGCTCGTCTGACACAAGTGGAGCTTTCTCGCAGCGATGGTCCAATCGGATCCGCCACCGTAAAACAAACCCTGCTCAGTTCACCGCAGACGTAGCTCTGCGGGTGTTTAGTGGAAAAGCGTGAGCCTTCTGCCGGCTGCCACGTGTCATGGCTGCTCTGCAGCGGGAACACACATCACAGCTTGTAAACCGTTTGAAATAAGAGCGACGGGAACACGTTTGTCATCACTTCCTGTGCGAGGCCAGCACTTCTACTCCTAACCCATGAGACGCTTAAACGAGCAACGACGTCTGGTAGACAACCGAAGGAAATGCCAAATACAGAAACACTATGAAGGACTGGAAAGAGAGCAAAGAAAAGCGATTGGAGTTTCTCAGGAAGGGACTTCCATACCTCGGCCAAGTCCTCGTCTTTCCCTTAGTCTGGACTTCCAACGATGGGCTCCTTCTCCCTCATCCAGGACTCGGCCTCATTAGCATCCGCAAAGTACTGTTTGGCCTGCAGAGAGTCCTCCAGGTCCTGCCTCCTCTGGGACGCCTTGGCCTTCAGCGTGTCCCAACGTCCATGAAGCTCCCACAGTTTAGTCTTCACTTCCTCACCAGCGAAGTGACCTGGACCCAAAAAAAGTGAGCCAGAACCTGCAGACACCTCAGAAACATGTCAGGACCAGACCTGCTCTACCTTCTTCCACCATGGTCTCTCCTTTCTGGGTGACAGCCTTGATGCGAGGTTCATGACCTGTGATCTCAGCCTGCAGAGCCTGGTGCTTCTTCAGCAGGTTCTGGACACCAATCAGGTCCTTCCCTTAGGACACATGTTAGAGTTCAGCATTATGCAGTAGACAGACCAGTTTAACCCAGGGGTTTCTTTCTTCTACAATCTGCTCTTTAACTGTATTATTTCAGCTGTTAACTTTATTTTCTCTCTAAGTGTTTTTCTCCCCAGAAGAAGCTACAACGATGTTCTGTTGAGCTGTGGTGGCCTCATGGAGGGGGCCATCGGCTAGCACACTGCTGCTAACCACTTAAACATTCTCCCTCTCCTGATAATAACATTTTACTTTCTTTGATGTTGGATGTGCTACTACTAGTTTACCCGTTTAATTATAGATTCACTAGGATAAATACAATAAAGTTTATCTCTTGCCAAATAGAATATTTACTGTGGCGAGCCCGTGAAGAGGTGTAGGAGAATGCGACAAATTTGTCTGTTAAAAAGTCTGTTATGTACAAAAACACAATATCATCACACTATTTTGGACCGATACATGACGGTCAGGTCCAGCTTGGGGAGAAAATATGACACGTCTTTCAGGATGGACTTCATCTTTGGTAGCTGGCGAAGCCGGGAAAAGCAGGATCTAACCACCTGGCTAATGTGGGAGTCCATCCGCATCTCTGGGTCCAAAACCACCCCCCGGTTAGTGATGGTTGGCTTCACTAAGCTGCAAAAACAGGGTTGCAGGACAGGACTAACTGCAGTGGGAGAGGGAGGAACAAATATTCCAGTTATAAATATTAAATATTTGAACAAATAAATATTTGTTAAAAGGAAGAAACTGATGATGACTTTAAGATTAGAGGAATGTTCTAGAACGGGTCTGGAACCAACGATGGCCCTTTGGATCAAATTTGGATTAAAAAAATAGCTCATGATTTTATTTATGGATGGAATAAAAATACAGGTTGTAAGCATCTTCTCAGTATCTTCATGTTGCACGACTTTCCACAGCAGAAGGACACAAAAACTGCCAGAATTATGATTAGAAAGATTTACGTTTTAATCTCAGAATCCCAACTTTTCCCAGAATCTTCACATTATTCTATGAATTCAGAGAAAATATACATTTTTCAGAGGTCTCGCTCCCCTGTTGTGGATATTTCTCAAAATTCAACCATTTTTTCTTTTCAAAAGCTTTAGTAAGAGTTTGGACTCTAAACAAGTTTTACTTTGCAGACTGCTTGTCTAAACCTTCATCAGATCTGCTCATAATAAAACATTTGGGTTATATTTAATGCCCAGGAAGATGCTCTTCCTGGGCATTAAGTTATCAAAAACAGATAAAATTATTTTTTACCATAATTTTAACTGCTATCAGCTGATAAAAATAATAAAAAACAGCCTGATCATTAAAGGGGTGTAAGTGAAACCGCGCGGATCACACAAACCATCATGCTGTCTATATGACTTTGAAAATATATAGTTTAATTACAGTTTGATTTATTTGACATCTGTATAATGTTTATTATTTTGTTTTTTCCCCATAAATGCCTAACGTTTCAGTTTAACATGAATATTAGTCATTCATCACAATACATAAAGTTACACATTTTAAATTTTAATAGGGGAAGACTGCAGGAGGGAGCGGTAAAATACAGAAATCCCCAGCAAAAACAAGAAACTTTACGAGTCTGATGAAACCCGCTGGAGTTCCTTCAGCAGGCCTGGTGGCAGCTACAACGACCCAGTGGCTGTGCTTGGTCAATGTTATCGAGCTCAGTCCGGCTCGGCCGTGAACGAGCCGAGGCGACATCCTGCTCTGCTTAAGAAGAGGTGTTATTTTCCGCTTCAGAAGAAGCGTCCGTGTTTTACGCTTTCTCAGAGACATGTCACGTTGCTAAGTTGTTAGCGCCGCGCGCTAACACGTCAATAGTGCAGCATAGCCTGCTGGAGGGTTCAGATGAAAACACCCTACCACTCAGGCTGCTTACACATCGATATTAAGTTGTCGCTGTTGCGCTCACGCCGTAATACAGTATTAGATGCGGTTAAAGTCAGACATGAAAAACTCCACGAGCGGTCAGACCGCGCAGCAGCTAGGCGCAGCAAATAGGCGCCGGATCGTCCAGGCTGCCCGGCCTGACCGCTGGGGATTACCGGATGGAAGAATGGACACAGAAGTCTCCCTCTTAGCGCTCCGTCATATTTCAACCCATTTTTATCTTAAATGCACTGGGTTTTACCCTATTACCCATCTAAATATGCCCTATTAATTATTTTACCGTATTTTACATTTAAATTTCATGGTTAAACAGTACATGCTACATGTTAAACTGATAGTTAGCTAGCTACTTCGGTAAACTCAGCTAGTTTAAAGGTAGCAGTGACATAAAATACGAATATAGATTTTAACTTACCGAAAAAAATGAAGTGGAGACTCCTTGGACGCTCTATTAGTGCAATTAATACCACTGCAAGTCATTTTGTCCAACAATTGCACCAATAATATCCAAAGAAGAATACACAAACACAGAGACTCAAAATGCCGGAGCAGTTTCCAAGCCAGACCGAGGCTGTACTGAGGCCTTTCCACGGAGCTAGCTCTGTGGTCACGTGGGTCTGAGGCGGCGGTCACGTGTGTCGGATGCTCATTAATTATACAGAATTTTAGGCTTTCAATACACTTAAACAGAAGAGTGAGAAAAAAATTCACCCCCCTCAGAGTTGTCATGAGTATAAACTAGATAATTTAGACAAAAAACATGTTTTGGCACCAGGCTGTAAACATGTTTATTTCTGCTGTGAAATCGGCATTTTTAACATGGGAGTCAATGAGGATTTGCTCGCTTCTGGCACCAGCCCCCAGCGGATGAGGGTGGAACTGCAATTTTTCTTACTTCCGGGATGGGACCATTTTCTGAGCGGCATTGTGGGGGCTTGATTCAGACATATTGCACTACGCTCCGCCCACTAAAACACTTTCACGAGTTCTGATTGGTCTACACATATTCACCAATCACGTTTTAGCAAATAAAAAGGCGGAGCTTATGAAGACTCATGTGAAAATGAACAATAAACAAATAAACAATAGAACAATTTCGAAAATATTTCATCTTTATTTGTGCATTTTGGCAGGATGAATCTTCTATTTGGAACATTTGGGGGTGGGGGGTAATAGCTGTAATTGTTGAAAATGCTGCAAGCACAGTCTCCGCAACAAGAATCTCATGCAGCATGTTTTTAATCTAGGCTACTCACAAATATCGGAAAAATGTAAATCTGCAAATTAAGATAGGTTCGTCTAAAGACGGAGGCGAACATATTTGATGAAATGCAGCTGTTGGGACATGCAGAAAAAAAGCTCGTTTGCATTGTAGTGGAAGAAAAACCAGCAATACTGCAGACATCAGGACTTTTTGTTGATTGATTAAAAACTTGTTTTTAAAAACAGCATCAAAAATCATTTTATTTCCCTAGATGTTTATTGTTGGGATGAACCACTGGAAAAGCAATACAATTCAAACACTTCATTCTGCCACTAGATGGCAAAATTACACAAAAGGAAAATTGGCTACAACACAGGCATCAGAGGTTTAGGGGTGCAGAGCAGCCAGAAAGCTTGTAGTTTTACATATCACAATGTATGTTCAAGATTCTGTCATCAGTGTAGAATAATCTGGTCCAAGTTTGAAGAGTCTAAGTCAGTGCTCCCAACCTTTTTCTAGAAGGACCCCCTTGCTGGTATCCAAGACAAGACAGCTCCCACTACCACAACCCCTATACCTGCACACACAAGCTTAATTACAAAAATTATGCAGACACATAGTGTTTTATATCTTATACAGATTTTGCCTATACGGTTGGATGTGTTATTGGGATTTTATAAATGTAATTTTTACAAATGTAATGTTGGTAATCTCCCAATCTCAGCACAGAAAATATTGTGGGACCCCCTTAGCAGGTCACAGATCTATGATGGTAACCACTGGTCCAGGTGTTGTAGTTTTACAACAGCATCAGATTAAAGATGCTCAATGAGTGGAAAATTGTTTGGAATGTCTCCTTCCTAATTGGAAATCAGAAATATGAACCAACTTCAGTTCTGTCTGAATTTCCACAACAGAAAGACAAAAAAGACCATTTGAGACAAAGAGGGTAAAATATTCCCAGACACTGGAGGGCAGCATCTCCCCAGCTTCACTTCCATTCTAAATGCAGTTGGAAACCAATGTTGATCTATTTTTTGCCTGCAGAGGGCGCAAACTCCCCAGTCTTTTAAGGTAACGATTCATTGTGTTTGAAAAAAAAAATGTAGAGAAAGAGTTCCTACTAAGTAAGCCTTGTAAAAGGCAAAGAAAACAGTTAAACACAACTACTTTTTCTATTCAGTTACTACTGGTTACTTAAAATAACCACAACGAGTAAAAATAAAATAAAATAAAATAATTCTCAAACTTTCCGAGTGCTTCAACACCCTCAAAAGCAGACCAGAAACGCCTATGCTGCAACACAAATTTTGTCCAATTTCAGGGTTCGATCAATGCATTTTTACTCATGGATCTTTATAACAACAACACACACACACACACACACACACACACACACACACACACACACACACACACACACACACACACACACACACACACACACACACACACACACACACACACACACACACACACACACACACACACACACACACAAATGATTTCAAATTTTTAAATTGAACATTGTCCATCCCCAGAACTAAATCTGGCATCATTTGAGTGGTTGGAGACTGGAAATGTGTTCCAATGTTGACAAAAGAGAATACACAAAACAAATGCAGTGACAAATGCCAAGTTTTTAATAAACATAAATACGTCTGGAGGTCATGTATCTGCCTCAAAACAGAACAGTCAGAAACAGATAAATTAGAACATTTTTGCTCCACTTATACTTTCCAAAATAATCAAAAACAATTGTATTCTGTTTAGGTTATTATATGCAAACTTCTTAAATTGTGTTGTTTTATTTGATTAGACAAGAATTAGACATTAACTGAGTTTGTCTTTGGATGGAATTAACCAGAAAAATGGTGTTATAAGTTTAAAAATATATATAAAAGATTAATTAATTCAGTCAGATTTTGTTGTTTTTATGTGGGAATTTTGTTAAATTTGCAAAAGAAAGCCAAACTTCAGAAAACAAAAACGTGTAAAAAAAAATAAAGGTATATGTTGGCATGATAGAAATTTATAAAAATATAGATTTCAAGCTCTTGAAGAGTTTAAAAATCACTGTTTCACTGAAAATGTTTGTGAAAATTGATAGAAGTTTTGAGTTATGGAGTTTGTTGCTCACAAACATGCACTGGTCATTTCTATTTTTCATGTTTGTATGAGTCTCTCAGCCAATCAGCGATCCTCCTCTGAAATTTATACAGCACCACAATCACTGCTCTGATTATCACACGCAAACAGAGATGTGCATGTATCTGCTTCATAACGTTATCTAAACAAATCAGGTTTTTACACATTCACATAAATCATTGTTGTTCCTGCAGCTTAGTGCACAGAGACATTCCAGTGAGAGCATCTTTTGGCTTCTTCTCCACACCATCTTGTCAGCAGTCATATCAGAAACAGGGACCAAGTGATGTATAATACATTAAAGCAAAGTCCTGCTTTCATACATGACAACGCAGAGGGACACTGGGTAATGAGGCAGGTCTGCACACTGGGAACATGGCCAGATGTGCACAAAAGCTGTGAAGAAACTGCAGCAGCAGATGTGGGGACACTTAAGTCTGACAAGCAGATGATGCAATAAAACAAAACACTAAAGTAAAGGTAATACTGTAAACAGGGTTGTTTATGAAACAAAATGAAAATAATTTTTTTTGTTTTAAAAAATGTAATCAGTGAAAACAGAAAATACTGCATGATGATATTTATAATGATAAAAACATATTTGTCAGAAACATCCTGATCATGTTTTTTGTGATGCATTTCATGTTTTATTGCCTTTTGCATACACAAATCAGAGTGTGTATGGAGATAAATGATGAGGCAAATCATGAGGAAGAAGAGGATGAAAGAGATGAAGACGCAAACAGGGGGGTGTCTCTGGAACTGATTGGATGGATGATGTTTGAACAGCAGGTTCATTTAAGGAAATTGTCCTTCAAGCCACAAAAGTGATCTAAAATTTAATACATTTGAAAAATCATTAATTGTGCAATAAGACAAAACAGTAAACCTGCTGGTTTGGTTTCAATGAAAAACAAATATGGATTTCTAAAGCTTGTATTTTTCTAATAGAATGATGATATAAACAAATGACTGAAATGTAAAAAAAGACATAGCTTCAAACACATGTTTATGTTTGCAAAATTAAATAGAATGATTCTGTGTGGGCTAAAGAGGCCATTTGATGCAAAACTCACATTTTGCATCATTTTGTGCCACTGCTCTTCTGCCCCTAGAAACAATCAAAATGTGAAAAAAATTGTTCTGTCCATTTTCTGTCAGTGCTCTGTTTTAGGAATTAAGTGCCTAAACTGAGTCGTTTCTAAAGTCCCTGTTTGTGACATCACAAAAGGGGAAATGGTCTTAGAATCACTTGTTATGTGTCTACACTACAAGAACAGCATCTCTACTTGTAGCCCCTTTCAGAAATGGGAGCTTGTCAAATTAAAACAGCCAATCAGTGGACCAGTTCCAGCCATGAAATGACTCATTCTGGAAGGTACTAAAATGTCAAGAATAAAACTGCTGAAATCACTTTATGTGAGAGGGATTTTGTACATAAACATGTGTAATAGACCATAAAATTGAACTATTATAACTTAATAAATAACATGCCTGTATACATGTCCTCTTTAAATTAAGGTACTGGAATTTTATACTGTTCTGTTGGTGGGAAAAAAAAAGAAGGGAACACTGATTTCCCAGCCTTTCCTGAAGATGGCAGGAGGAGTTGACGTTCCACTGTGCCCGAACATCAGTTTGGTCTCTTGGCAAAGTCACTGTCAGCCAAGGCGACACAAACAAACTGCAGCAGCATCAACATGATAACATAAATGTCAATGCAGAGAGACACCAGTGCCTGGGGATCAGTGGGGCGGGCACACGTTGTTGTTGCAGAGCTGGTTGTTGGTGAAAAATAACAGCATGTCAGATGCAGCATATGGTTGTGATGATGGTGATGATGATGATGTTCAGGGGGGATGAGGCTGCAGTACAGTGAAGCTGGATTTAGGCTGATGAAATCTGAGCACTCATACAGGAAATGCAGCTGTATAGTAAAAGTACCGGGTATGGGTCAAAGTAAGACAAAAAATCCCGTTTATTGTTTTCAGAGATCTGACGCAGTTCGCAAAAGGCTGATTTTAATGAAAACATTGAGAAAGAAAAAAAGAAAGAAAGAAAGAAAGAAAGAAAGAAAGAAAGAAAGAAAGAAAGAAGAGGCTGAAATACTGTATAATAACCTTGTTGTGGAGAACCAGATGTGGATGCCAAATGTTAGACAGCAGGGGGGTTGGGACTCTGATGCTATAATCCTCTGGAAACAGATAAACAGATACAACAAGCAAAGTGAACATCAACTAGTTTAAATAATTGTGAGAAAGGAATAAAATAGAACCCCAGATCAGTATGAACGCCATCATTAGATTATAAAGTGGTACACGTCCTGAGATTTTTATTTATTTTTTTTTATCTCTGTTTGATGCATGGGTTGAAAGTTTTAGTGCATCTTCATTAATGTTCAACAATTAAGAACCATTAAAGGCACCAAACTCTTAATGTTTAGCCAAACAAGATACTTGTACTTAAAAGCATGTCTATTCTAGCATTTTGACTCATAGTTTGAGTGAAATACAATTAAAAGTCTTTGCAGCTTTTTCA